CCCCCCCCCCCCCATCACTTTTCTAATGATCCGTCCCTTATATTCTGGCGGCTAAAAGATTTTCAATTGTCAAATTAAAACTTACGTAACGTATAGGGGTAATTTTCAAAGTCGTTGTAGGTGGCAAGACATTAGGAATTGATTGTAAGTTCCTAGTTAGTTACAGACAAGATTGTGTCAGGATTGCATTATATATAGTTGTTCAAAATTGGTCGAAAACTGGAAAAAACTGCAAATTTAGGCTAATAAAGAAAATTTCAGAGCGAAGTTCTTACTGAGTTGGCCGAATGTATGTGCTTATTATATAATATATTGTCACATAGTTGCTGGGAAAAATATCTTCGACAGACGGCCGTGGATAAGAATCATTCGTGTAGGCATTTTGACACAAAGTGGCTTAATTAATGAACTTTTAGGACAAATTTTTAATATCACTGAAAATAAATTCTCTTTTAAGGCTCTTTGTTCGGCTATTTAAAAATTAATTTACATATGTGTAAACCTATTTATATCGATCTGAATTAAGGCATGCATGGCCTTTTCGCCACTATTGCAGCTTTTGCAATCGCGCAATTATAGTTATTTTTTAAGGTACATAAATGACTCAGTCGTTAAAATTCATAAAATCACTTTATTTATTTGTCGATTTAGTATGTTAATAACCTGAAGTTCAGGCCCTATCACAGAATAGGGCCTGACACAAAACCTATCTAAAGTGTGGGATTCCCGTCCACCAGGTGGACGGGAAATCTGATTGGTTGATCAGCATCATGAAGGATTTTGATTGGTTGCAAGTTCACGTAAACAACAGTTTTAAAAATAGCTCGGTCAAGGCGAGAATTAATATAAAGGTCAAACGCACGTAACAAATTCCATTATCGATTTCTCCGAATTTCTTTTCTTTTATGCTTTATGGAAGAAAATAAATCAAACAAACAGTATTTTGAAAGGGCTTCATCAAAATCTTTGACGAATTTTGGACACACACGACGCTGAAAGAACAGCCAAACTAGTCCTGTATTCGAAAGCTTGTTGTTGACAGCCAAGATGTTCTGCCAACTTGCTTCGCCGGCAAAAGTCTTATTTTTAATATCAGGTCCTACCGGCGTAATTGTTTCTGAGCTACATCGCCTTCTTCGTGGTATGATTAAGAATTTAATTGTTGCTGTTATTAGCCCGTTTATAGTCGTTTATAGAGTATATCCGCGTCCAGCAAGTTGAGACCTTGAGAAAGCTTGGCAGTCAAGCCGTGCACAGAACTGACTAATTAAATCTTTGTTTGCTGTTCGGTTAAATAGAGAAACTGACTCTTAATTATATAAAAGTACTTTGAATTTTTAAGTTTAATTATAAAGCAAAATGCACACTCTGCGGACATGTTCATGAGAATATAAATTTTTTGTGTAACGAAATCTACAACACTTGTCATTTGTCAATCATATTGCATGTTGTGTTTAAAAATAACATGTGGGCGTCCCACGGTGTAGACAGGTTTTGTGTCAGACCCTATTTCAAACAAGACGCTCTATTGAGCGTTAGTCGCTGGGGCTATTGCATATTATGCTGCATGCGATTGAGACTGCTATTTGTTTGTTAAGTTTATGTGTTCATATAATAAAATTGTTTTTGTCAAAAATGGGATTCAAGGAAAAATTAAAACAAAGTTCCTCAAACAAGTCCCCGGACTATAGACAATAAACAAATTTGTCTAAGTTTGGTTATATCCAATTCACAACTTTACATAAGTCACATGCCTTAAGGCTGCATTCCAGTTACGCGTTATGAAATAACTAAATTTATAAAAGGACAGCATTCAGTTTTGTGTATGATTTAATGTGTATTTGTTAAGGTTATTTGCACTTATATGAAATTTTAAGCGAATTCAACTTTTACGTGTGTGTACGCACGTGTACGCACCTATGAAACTGGAATGCAACCTTAAGTATCATTGTTCTGGTGTACTGAAGCATAGAGTAGAGCAAAGATAACTAAGCTTTAGAATTATCTAGCTACATGAATGAATGAATGACTTTTATAGTGTATAGGACTTATCAAATGCTTAGTTACCTCTGTTCTATTCTATGTGTGAACTACTGTAGAACACTAACTAGGCATGAATATTTAAAGTTGTGAATTGCATAGCAACAATGTAACTAACTTTGCCAAATTTATCTATTATACAAATTAATATGTTCTGTGTGTTTGAATTGTACAATATACAAATAATGAATGTTTCTTCGTGCAATGGTAAGAATATTTTCATGAGGTGAAAGATGGAATGTTCCATTCAACGAGGCGACAGCCGAGTTGAATGGAACTTCCATCTTTCACCGAATGAAAATATTCTTACCATTGCACGAAGAAACATTCATTATTTGTTTTATATAATACCAAAAGTCCAGAAAAGACTAATAGATTCGTATGAGAAGCATTTTGAGGGATGCGATTTATCGAAAACACAACGAGTGCAATTGTACTACAGGGTGTCTCAAAAAAACCCAAAATCATTGAAATTGACGTATTGTTCGATATTCAATGCCCTAGCACTAAGTTAATCCCACGAGTGCATAAAAGATTGACATAACTGCTATACTGAATGGTAATACTCAGCGTAAACTTGTTATGTCAGGCATAAAGTACTAAACCCACGAATGCATATTACGCATATTACAATTTACGAAGCATTTTTAAATTTCCATGAGCAAACAAACGTTCACTTTACAAAGATATTTTAATTTTTTAAAACAAATTAATCACCCTGTCAAAATCCTTTGTGTTACGGCATTGAAATTCGAACAATACGTTATTTCAATGATTTTGGGTTTTTTTGAGACACCCTGTATACGTTTTATTCCATTGCACTCGCGGAGAGTGCAATGGAACGCGTTCCATTGCACTCTTGGGAAATGGAATTTTCTATTCAATATCACGTGACCATAAACAGCCAATTAAACGATTAGAATTTAATAAGGTATTATATAATACCTATTGTGAGATAACAGCTGTCCTGAGAGCTTTTAAAATATCATTTGCCAGCAAGGCAAAAAGTTCTATTAAACCCTTGTCCCATTAAGCAGATTCTATTTACATCCAAATAAACAGCAACTTGCGAATATTATTGTTGCAATTTACGAAGTTCCAACTTTGTGAAAATTGTGAACTTTTGTCGTCTATTTCAGGCTTCCAGCCTTCCAAGTTTACTCATATAAGATGACTTTCGGTTTATAGAGTCTGGCTGATGGAAAACTATTAAGTTTCATCGAAAAAATGAAGAAAATATGCACAAAATCGATGAAATTATTTCCAAATACGCTCCCAAATAGGCGGCCATCTTGAATCCAGCGACTGAAAGTAATGACGTAATGTTTGACAAAAAAATGACGTAGTCATTTTGTGACCAACAATCCGCGATGAAGCCGAAACCTATAGTAGCTGGAGGCACAGAGTGCCCCAGCGACTAATTAGGGCCTGAACTTCAGGTTACCAAAAACCCTTCACGTGAACTTCACGTGTGATTTTCAGCGATGTTACAACATATTAATCTGCTAATTTGCTGGTGTTGATGCTATTTTGGGACCTGCTAGGTGGGATCAAAGATTGGAATGTCGTCTTTCGCAATTTAAAGATTGCCATTGTTGCTTTTTGAAACGTATTAAATATTACTGTCGCTTTTCGCTCTTCTTAATTGTCGTTCGTCGGATTTCAAATAAAGCCTAAATAAAGGTCCCGTCGGCTGTCGAAATTTACCCTCAAAAGGGCCCCCCATAATTTGCTCGAAGTAATTGTGTCTGAATAAAAGTGAGTCTAAGGTCCTATTCACACGTAACCTGCGATCAGGCTTATTTCAAATTGATTGTTTATACGAATCATTCACGATTAGCTGAGTCGCGGTTTGTTTGGACCGCGGCTTATTTTCGTTCGTAATAAATGGCCTTACTGTTTCTAAAAGAGTAAACTTTTTTGTGACGTCGGCAATTCACACAACCTCGTTCCCAGAGCTTTCTAGGGAAGGACCACTAAACTGATGGCTCTGGATCCTATTTCCAGCTACAAAACTGACGTGACGTCATTGTCGGAAGATGGATAATGTGTTAAATGGCTACGTAACTAACCCAAAGTCCCAAACCCTAAACGGGGGGCTGAATAGGGGTATACAAATCCACCGATCCGCCCAAATTTGAAGCAAAATCCGCGATCGATCCGACAATGGTCTTGTCTAAATTTGAATCCGTTAAAAGCTCTACTATGAAGTCACAATCCAGGATCCGAACTAAATTGCAAGCTAAATCCACAATCCGAGCCAAAATATCAGATAAATCCGCTGTATTAATAAGATCCGCAAAATATTCGCCAGATCCGAAATCCGAACAATTTTTTCTGTGAAATCCGACGATCCGAAAACCTATTCACCCCCTAACCCTAACCAAATTAATAAAAAATAAATCCGAAAAGAAACAACTTTAGAAATTGATTAAATGACGTACCGTCGTCAGTTTGATGATTGGAAACGAGTGAAAACCGAGAACCCAGAGGACATTCACCAGCCTTCTCGCTGTTACTCGGTGACGTCACGGGAAAATGAGGGACTAGTCAGGACATTCACAAACAAAAACGAGTGGAAACTCTGAACTCTAAAGTACAGAATAGAAACCATACAGCAGGTCGACTCAGCCAAAAAACATAACCGCTGCCACACCATGAGGGTCTTGTCTAAAAGTACACACGAGTGACCACGAGTAACCACGAATGACCACGAGTGACCACGAGTGACCACGAATGACCACGAGTGACCACGAATGATTTATGTGTTTAAAAGTCATAAAATAATAATAAAAATCTATTTTAAGGTGGCTCCATAGGGTTTTTGCATGACACGAAGACGAAATTTATTGGACACATTGACAATGCTCTCCTGAACATTGCAATCTACTACTTTTGCGCTGAAAGTCCGTTACCATGGTGACAGCGTGTTTGGATTAGGCCTTTATAGATTGTGCTCCTAATTTGAGCAAAAGTTGCTCACAAAAATGGGGAAAAGTTGCCCAAAATTGAAAAAGTTGCTCCCAAAATTCAAAACGTTGCTAGCTTTGTCGCAACTTTATTATTGATAAACAACACAAAATAACATAAGTTTTACATAGAACTATAATAGTATTAATAGAATATAAAATTTAAACTTCGAGTAATAGCAATAGAACATAATATTAAAACAGTTAAATAAGCTCAGTGTCTAATTATTACCAGTTCGAATCTATTTGATAGAGCTACAATATGTCTGTGCCTCTCTTTCTACTGTGTGCCCTTTATACAGGGTATACCAGACAAAACGAGACCTTTAGATTTTAGAATCTTCAGAAAAATAGGTTCTAATTGTATTCACATCAGTGAAACAAAGCGAAATTGCTGCTATTATGTTAATTCTGACTTCTAAAGATCCCGCTTTTTATACACCCTGTAGGTAGTTTGTATTGCTTTCTATCTCTTTCTCATAACTGAGGCCTCAACGTAGTCTGTCACTAATCTCCAAGGACAGACTCAAGGACATAACCGCTGTAAATAATTACTGCTGTCCATTGTCCAAAAGCATTAATTGGCGCACATTAACGATGATCTCTACGGTCTACGACATTGTTTATTATCAAAATTTGTTATTTCATTAAATTAAATATTTGATTTAATCTTTTTATATCTCCAAATGTTCATTCTGTGCTTAAAAAGGTTGAAAGTTGCTCATTTGGTGCTTAAACAGTTGAAAGTTGCTCCAGACAGTAAAAGTTGCTCGAGGTTGCTCGAAAGGCAAAAAGTTGGTCAAAACTCCAAAAGTTGCTCACAAGTTGCCGAGCGCAATCTATAAAGGCCTAGTTTGGATAATTAAGCTCAAAATTTGTCTTTCCGGCCGTTTTAAAAATTTAAAAATTTGCATAAAAGATCTTTCTCGTATAATAACTTTTTTCTTCAATTTTAAAAAATTCTATGGAACGTCTCTTAGCCGGATTATTTCCTTCAATAAAATTTTAAGAAAAAAGGATATTGGCATGAGCTTGTTTAGCCGATATTAAGAAATGTGCAAAGTTTTAAAACAATTTACCGAAGGAAAAGGGTGAAATTTAGGTTTAATTTTGGCATTTTTTGCGAGATGTGACGTGTAACCCCCCCCCTCCCCCCTCCCCCCAACTGTGAAACTCAGACAAAAATCAGGTAAAATTCCAGTTAAAATTTTGATATTTTCAGGTAAAATTTGCGTAATAAAGTAATTATTTGTGTGAAATGAGAACCATTTTTGTAAAATATACAGTCAATTCGCATCCAATTTGTTTGCGAATTTGCTTTAGAAAACGCCAGAATTACAGTCCTAGAGCTTCAAAAATGGAACAATTTTCTGGGGGAGGACCCCAAACCCCCGTTTTCTCCCGAAACTTAGTATGACAGTGCAAGTCAATCACAAAAAGCTTTATTATAATTATTACACTTTTGGTAAATATTTATTAATTAAAAATTCAAATTTCATGTAACATCCTCCACCCCCCCCCCCGCCCCAACTTCAGATGCTTTGCTACGTTGCTGTAGACTGACGTGTACAATAGTCGAAAAACTCAAAAAATGTTCCCTAAGAGACTTTTAAAATGGCCGAAAAAAGACAAATTTTGAGCCTTATCCTAAACACGCTGTCACAGAGGAAGTACATACAGAGATCTCACTTCAGGTTAATTTCGCGTAAGGGATTTTTTCAGTCCGCCATGTTCTTAGCAAGTGCCCTAAAGAGAGGCAGTCACTCCCTGAAAACATATTGAAAATTTAATATTCCAGGGGGTGAATGCCTCTCTTTAGGGCACTTGCTAAGAATGCCTCTCTTTGGGGATGGGGATGAATGCCTTTCTTTAGGGAATTTAATATTCCAGGGGGGTGAATGTCTCTCTAGGGCCAGCTATTTCGGTAAAAAAGCGCCTTACGGTTTTGTAATGGAAGTTACTCTTCTGTATGTCTTTATTCTGTGACGCTGTTGCCATGGTAGCGGACTTTCAGCACAAAAGTAGCCACAGGAGGCCCAGGCTCGATTTGCCCGCGCCCGCCTGTGCCTTCCTTATAACGAGGGAAGGACGGAGACATTGAGACCAAAATCAAAGATTAGATACTATAAAGATGTGTCACTCTGCGAAAATTATGTCCGAGATTTTTTTATAGCCGCCATTTTGCCAGTAAGTGTCAAATTCGTCAAAATTCGTCATATAGCGCGAGCATCGCGATGGCAACCTATTGTATTCAGTCTCGCCGCCATTTTGGCAGTAAGTGTTATGCACTCGTCATCTCGCGTGATCACTCGTGATCAGCACGGAAAATTACGGACACGCAAACATTAGGGAAATACGTCGAGTGACACATCTTTATAGTATCTAATCTTTGCCAAAATAGCCCAGACTTGGCATATGTCACACGAAACTATCCTCGATTTTTCGCTTTTAATGCATTTCCTTCACGATTAATCGATATCCCCTGCAAGAATGATACCGTATAACTCTCAAAACAACGATGCTTTAATCAAAGAGCTTAAATTCGCTCTGAAATCCGTGAGGGAATAACAAAATTCGGCCAAAATATATCCGCGTGCCCGGTTTGCTGTGCAAAAAGCGGAAGTCGTTGAACAACTCAAAAACACTCAACCCTGATTGGACAACGAATTTCAACAAACATTTCAAATTTTTTTAACCTGAAACACAATGTGAAATACAATTTATTATACATATTAACGTACTACAGTTTTATATACTTGCAGTAATATTTACACTTTATAACGTTTGTGAATAGTTTTAATTGTATGATTGAAAT